CTAAAATATCCTTATTTAATGTAAGTTGTTATTACTATAAAGTACCTTATTTAATATAGATTGTTAGTGTTGAATATAACGTACCCCATTTAATGCATTTAGATTTTCCAAAACATATTGATATATGAAAAGCCTACTTTATTTAATGTAAGGGTATTTTAGGAAAATAGTAATTTAAATTTATTTTTCCAACAAAGTTAATTACTTTTTCTTAAACTGTGTGAAAAAAAACTATGACTATCAAAATGAGACAGAGGGAATATTCAATAATACTTTAATGTTGTCCAAATGCTCCGAGTATGTTACACCTTTTTTTTTTTGACTTTTTTTTAGGTATAGGTGTGAGGTTTTAAATTTCGAATCTCTCATTACATTCTGTTTTCCTGTGCCATTTAATTCATCCCTTCCTGAAATATGTTACAACTTTGGTAGTTTATTTAATATTTCAATCTCCTCTATATTGAGATCTAAGCACACGTTTCCAATACATAAAAGACCTTCATTGCTGTCAAAATTCTTATCTGGATCCTATCCTTTCATCTACTTTTAAATATGCATCATAGGGTGCATAGTTTCAAATAAGTGGGAGCTCTCCCGAGAGAGAGACCTCCCTCTCACCAAAAAAAAAAAAAAAACTAGTTTTAGACCACAATGAGTCATTGCGTTGGACAAGAGAGCGTTTTTTAATTCCTCTTTAATTTCAAATTCAGGGTTCGTATTGGCAATTCGGAGTTGAAATGATATGGGAAGGGATTAAAAATTTTTTTTTTTGTTTAATTGAGCTACTTCTTTCACATCAAAAGAAAAAACAAAAAAAAATTAAAACTCCTTTTCACTTATCACAACAATTGGAGCATCATCAGTGAAATCTTTGAAAGAAAACTTGCAAGCTGGTATTTATAAAGGTTGTGTCGGCTAAAAGTGAAGTGGGAAGTTGATGGGCAAAGAGTTGGACGTGGGAAATGCAAAATTTTCAATTGAAAAGCTCATTTCCAATGTGATTACTCTCTAAAAAAAAAAAAAAAAAAAATCAATGCATCAGATTTATAATGACAACTTGAACTCAGTAGCTGATGCTTGATGTGATCTCAAGTCTGTAAGCTAACATTTGATCTCCAAATGGAGGGAGACACCCCTGAACAAAGTATACAATTTGCATTGCCCTGGTCCCGTAGCCGAGGGCGGAGCTAAGACCCCCCACGGTTAGTGGGGTCAAATTTTAGTACAGTAAAATTTATTTTTTTAAAAATAAAAAATAATTAATATTATATATAGGTTATAATTATATCCTACGAGTACTCTTTTTTTTTAAATGATGCAAAATCAATTCATTACCAATTTTGTTAAATGCATCTTTTTCAATGTAAGTAATTGAATCTCTTGAATTTTTAAAAATAATCTGCGAATCACCGTCAACTTGATCTTCTACAGGTTTTTTTTATAAAATTTATCTTTACCCTATTATAAATAAAAAAATCATAATAACTTAATTTTGTATTATAAATAAAAAGTTTACCATCCACTTGAATAATTCTTGTTTTTGAAGACTTTGAAGTTTGAGAAAAAAATGATTTGAAAAATTGATTTTCTCACTCCATTCAAGAAAGTTCATCCTTTCTGTTTGAAAATTTTAGATGAATTTATTCTCGAACTAACTTCCTTAGATAATTTGAAATAAGTTCAAAATTATTGCGATGGTAAGAATTATGAATTTTCAATTTTTTGGGATCAATGTATATAGGAAAGAGAATTTGATAAAATATAGTGGGGTCAAATAAGATGTAACTTTAAAATTTTTCAAATTTCCTAAGTCTAAGAACAAATTTTTTAAAGTTAAATGTGGTCAATTGACCCCACTTTGCTTGTATGTGGCTCCGCCACTGGCTGTAGATATAGTAATAATTATCTTCCAATAGCATTAAAAAAAAAAAAAAAAAAAGGGGCAACCAGCGGTGTAGCAGAGTTTGGCTTGTTGCCACGTGGATAGAATATGGTGAATTGGTTAGAGTAGTTTGCCAAAGTGTTTTGCGTATGTTTTGTAAGCATTTTGACTGGAGACCTATGTAAAGACTGTCCTGCCCTCACATGTCACATCAACATGCACAACCCAAAAAGTGGATGATTTTGTACTTTTAAGTGGGAGGGGAAAAATACTAATCTCAATTGTTGGTTAAAAATGGCTATAATCATTGTTGAGCACTTAAAGATCAAATCAGCGCTGTCGACAGTTTCTTACTGTTCAGGGATGTAATTGTAAATTACAAAATGGTTCTTTGTCTCTTTTTTGTCATTGATGAAGTTTCTACTAGTTTTTTATTATTCAACTATTCCTTAACTTATTCCGGCCTGATTAATTATGGATTGGATTGCTGTCATAATTTTGATCATTGACTAATTAATCAATTTCAGTCCAATTCTTAAGGGCCACTTGATCAAGATTAACAACTACATACGGATGTTATTTGATAAAGTACAAATTGGTTTCTTCATTTAGGTCCAATTATGTACGGCCACTTCATCAAGATTAACAGCTAAATATGGAGGTTATTTGACAAGCACAAATTCGTTTCTTCATTGGAAATAACCACTTGAATGTGCTTAGGAGTTCTGACAAAAAATTTTCAACACAATGCGTCATGAAAAGAAACACAGACCAATTAACTGAGTTTATTGCCACAATAATCTCTCTCTTAAAAAATATTTCCAAACCAATGCAGTTTCAAAATTTATTCTCTTGTTAATATGTTTGTTGCCATGTAGACTTTAAATACGGAAAACTAATCACCCTTAAACTTTTGCTCTTTATCTTTTTTGAACTTGAAAGGTAAATCCCATTCAAATGTCAATAACTACCCCTAAAATCTTAATTAAAATTCACACTAGATGAATCCTTCATTATTTTTCAATTGCTCAAATTTTGCTACTTCTTCTCTATATATTGTTCATTGTCTGCCTTGAGGAAATTCTTAATATATTTGGAAATTTCTTAAATCGTCATAGCGATTATAAAATTTTCTTGCCATGTGTATGATAAATTGCCATATAGATAAACAAAAAATCTTTAGAGATTTATTGTGTTAATTCATGATTTTTTATTGTTAGAATGCATAATGATAACTCTTTCAGATATCAACTATTAACTAACTTTGATGTTAATTCTAATGCTAATTATCACATAGATTCTCTATGATGGATCAAAAAGATGTGAGACTTTTTTTTTTCATTTCTCTTTTCCTTTAAAATGGAACTTTTATAGTCCACACTAAACTATGATCATTATCAGAGTCAAAGTTAAGCGTGATTAGTTTTCTATATTTAAAGTCACATAGTAACAAATATATTAACAAGGAAATAAATTTTGAAATTGCATTAGATTGAAAATATTTTTTAAGAGGAAGATCATAATGGCAATAAACTCCACATATATTACAACTTCCCTCATTCCACTATCGCCATCCCTTACCCCATGTGGCCATGTCATCGTATTATGGCATCGTAACTGTGCATTTGAATAGCATTCTAGAATGCTTCTTTGTTGTTTTACCCAGATAATGAAAGTTCCCACCAATTTTTTATCCATTGGGTATTGCTTGAGTTAAGACCTTAATTTGAGGATTGTTATCACAATTTTGATATGGGCTAATTAATCAAATTAATCCCAATTTATTGATAAGATTAACAACTAAATATGGAAGTTATTTCATGAAGCTCAAATTGGCTTTGCCTATTGGATTATCCATTGGCTTGGTTGTGTTTTTGACAATGGAAAGGGGAGCCTACGTAGGAATTCAGCTTTTAAATCACCTGAACTTCACTTCAAACCCAACAAATTTCTCTTTGGATCAAATGTTTAATTTAGCCTTGATGTTAGAATTTTCCTACAACAGTTTTGAGCATTAGATCATCTCCAAGCGCACTTTCTTCATATCTCAGGCCTCAGCCATTAGATTACACCAGAGAAGTGATAATGGGATTTGATGGTTGCTAACTGATAAAATTAAGTAGTAATTTGGAGTTTTTTGAATTGAGGTAATAGAGATTAAAACATATTAGAAACTTCTCTTATTTCCCTTCACAGTCATAAAAAAAAAAAAAAATAGAAAAGGTAAAAGACTGCACTACTCACTTGAGAGCAATTTGTCGAGATATTCATCCTCATTTTTTTTCAAGCAAAAGAAAGGTGGAATTTAAAAGTTGGGGAGGGGCAGAGGATTACAACTTTGAATTTCTAATTCTTAGAGTCTCAACCTTAGCCACATCTGTCCTCATTTTCTTGCCTCTTTTAATTTTTAATTATCACAACACTACTGTTGTCTACTGATAAACTACTACTTTTTTGTACTGGAGTGTTAATTTCTTTCGGTGTTACAAATTATAATCATACAATAGCCATCTTATGAATCAGTAAAATGCAGCTTGGCTACTAGGAAATGCAGAATTATGTTATTGCCATTTGCCAGTCAGGGTATTGGTAAATAGCTTGTCTGGATTCCCACAAATCTGTCAACGTTCAATTGGATTGGAACATAATCATGTTCATCTTGCAAAGAAAACACTTAGCCAAACTACTTAAAGAACCTCATTTGGATTAATAGCACTATAATATGATTCCAATATGCTGCAGGTGCAGCAATGGAATCAAGCTAACTTAATCTACAGCAACAATTAAACACGACAACTCCAATCTTGATGCTGAAAAAACTATTCCATTTACAGCTGCACAACTCTATGAGACATATTAAAACTCATTTACATCATACTGCTGCCTATATCTGCAAAAAAAATTGCTGCTTTTTATATCAGGAATGTGAGTTATACTTCTCTAAAACATACATAACGTCTCATATCTCTTATCTTGTGCAAATGTAAGTCATACTTCTCTGAAATATACATAAGGTCTCATGTCTCTTATCTTGTTCATATCGCACAAAACTGGTGATGCACTTGATGACTAGCGGATTACTGCTTTGTCCACTTTTATGCTATAAACTTCCAAGGACAAGCACAAAAAAGGAATAGCATTGTCAAAGCATGCACAATACAATAGCTTCTGCAAAATTCCCCTATCACGTATCAAGAAACGTCGCAAATTTCTAATGAAATTATCATGCCTTCTCCAAAATTACAGCCTTTACTGATTTACAGGACCTACAGTAGCAATACTGAGGCCAATTAATGTCACTAATTCCTAGTTTTAATTGTTAAACTGAAACGACTGTGTATGAAGCCCTGTAGCAAAATTGAGTAGTAAAATGGTCTTCAGCCAATCCATGATAGAAGAAGAAACTAAATTTCGACTAGATCACAGCACGACGTGAGGTGCTCAAGAGAGATTATAATCTGATTCTATTTTTTCATGAATTGTAAAAAAAGGTCACAAGTTCTCTTCTCTGTCAATAAATTTAATACCATACCACTTGTCATCGCAATGCTGTACGTGAGGATCAAGTTTAGCACCCGGGCCAGTCCATTGTTTTGTTATGCAATCATAATACGGAGGGGCATGCATACATGGTTCCTTTGACACAGCACGCCTACATGGTGGATCAGGGGCTACGTGATTCTCAGGCTTGTAAAGGATCCACGGCTTCAAACCTCCAAGACTATGAGCTACATAACCAAAAGTCGAATCTGCGCTTGTCACCAGATTATCAGTCAAGCTCAATAGATACATTTCTGCCCATGCTTTTATATTGTGCATCTTTTTCTCATTGTACTGATGTTTTTCATGACTTGGCTGGTGTACTTCAATCACTTCTCCTGTGACCGTGGAATGTTTCCAGTACATGCTTCTCATTGCCTTAAAGTAGCCATATTCTAAAGAAGCTATCAAAACAGCTTTAGTCTTAAGCTTACCAGACTGGCTGGCAACAGGTTCCGTCCCATTGACTAGTGGCAGTAGATTTTCCTTCGCTGCACACGCCATAATCTGATCTAACAATTTAAGCTCAGGATCTTTCTCAAATACTCGTATTTGGATGCCTATCCTTTCATCTGCTCTAGCTAAGTTAGTGTCGTAATACGTGGTGATAAGCCCCCAAACAAAGTTTGTGGGATGGAAGAGATAACGGCCCAAGTGATGGAACACAGTTCCTAAATCTGGAAAGAGACTGCTAATTTCTTGCTGAAAAGTTGAAACTGAAAAAAGAGCTGGTGCAAAATACACGTTTGATTTGGCAATCAGCCAAGTCACATTCTGGACGACAGGTTGATCTTGATTGCAAAAGAAACGCTTGTTATCATCATCATAGTCATGGAGTAGATGGAGATAGATATAGGGTGGAAGGGAAGATGAATTCGAACTACCACGACTAATATTTTTCAGCAGTGTTCCAAAACTCTGAGGAGAGTTTTTATCAAAGCCACTGAAGTTGCCAATTAGAGGGAAATCAGAGGGAAGTAACCAAGAAACCTCAAATGGTTCGCAAAAAAGATCAGGAACTTCACTTTCTGGATCAACAAGTAGGACTCTATTTGTTAGGAGAGCATAAAGAAAAGCAGATGCCAAACTAAGTATTCTGTTTCCTAAACCATGGATTGGGTGAGTCCATATAACGTACTTGCAACCTGTGGAATTTGTGTATTGGCTGTGGCTTCCTGACTTAAGATATTCCAAGCTTCTGTTGTAGGACTCTGTAAATGGTCCACATTGTTTATGCAGGGCTTCATATTTTCTCAACCTGGAGACCAGATGGGAAGAAGGCTGGTGTTTCTGTTCCTTTCTGTACAAGGCTGACTGATACCTACTTACACATGAATTTACATCTAATCCTTCCGGGAGAAGGCCACCAAGAAGCTTGTCCTTTGGTTCCTGGACTGGCTGGGCAAAATATTCTCCCATTTCCCTGGTCCGCCTTATAATATCATCGAAATCAACATCTGCCAAGATCAAAAATAGTTGAGAACACGGGAGTTTAAATTCCAAGAAAATGGTTCTAATGATCCACACATTAATACCATATTACAATGTGAAGTTTACAACTATAGAGGGCAACAGTTGACTGAAGCAATTCTTGAGCCACAATATGGATTCCAAAAACCCTTTGAGACACGAAATATGCTGAACACTTGGTGTGATGCGTTGCACGACTAGTTAAGGTATGATAATAATTACGAACAGATGAACGAACTGTCATAAGATCAAACAAATCCAACTGCTATTTTTGTACAGCACCAACATACATCCAAGTTAGCAAAACAAATCATATTTCTCATATCTTATTGGCTTCATGTTAGCATCATGAATGAAATTGCCTAATAAAAAAATCCAATAACCATATGTGTGAACCGGAAAGCTAAAAGATATAATGGTATTTTAATGTGAGGTAGATGGTGTTTATGTCAAGAAAAGGAAAGTTATATATATATATAAAACTGTAACTAGAAATGTATTATATAGCATTGCAAAAAATTGAGGTGACACCTGCTGTTCTTTATTATTTTAATTATCATAAATATAGTTTATATGGTATAAAATCCTATTCTAGTACGGTTTTTATGCATGTAGTGATATATCAGATTTCTTGAAGCTGCCTAATTTGGAACTAAGATTCTGGCAAACGGTATAATCTCCAAACACACAACTGTTTAACCTCTATATTGCAATCTTGAAATGTGCAATTAGCCCAACATGGTTCTGCAACTTTATTACAAGACTTGTATGGTTAAAGTAGTAGGGAATAAAGGGGAAAAAATAAAAGAAGTTTCACTACTCAATATTTGATCAATGCGTCAAAGTAGTTCTTAACGTTTTGATTAAAATAGATTTGATCCCCAAAGTTTCTATTTTATACAAGTTTAGGATAACTGACGAATATTGAACAATTCTGACAGTGAAAATGAATTTGTTGTTAGTCAACAGTATTGATTATGCATCGCAGGTTCCTATTATTTGGAGTTTGAATCATTATAGTCCCTTAAATTTTAGATAGTGATGCTGAGGGTTTTAGAATAAAATGAGTTATAAATTAAATTGAAATTACTGCACACACATACACGGAAATCTAATTGAAAACTCTTGTTTTCTTCTTTTTTTATTTTATTTTATTCTATTCATTCATGCCACTAATTCCTCATATCTTTCTATCTTTCATATATAGTTGGTTACAAATTTGGCATAATATATGTGAATATTCTTTTAAATTATGAATAATTAATGAAGCATGAGTTCTATCATTTTTTGGCTTATACTGAGTTTGTTTGGACAACTTGGTTTTGGAAACAAAATTTCAGATTTTGTTTTGCTTGCATCATACACACAATTCCCAATCACCTTTTTATCTCACATACATCACATCACAAAAAGTACTACAGTAACTGAATCAAATAAATCATCCAAATAAATTCTTATCCAAACAAACTCAGTACTGATTACTGAACAAGTAATTAAATATCCTCTTAAAACATGAGCAATATATACTAATATGAATTAAGTTCATAATCTAATCACTTTTCTTTCTTTTTACATTTCAATAGATTATCAATTAAGATTCAAATGAAATAGGTATCTTACAAATTTATTTAAATTATTCAACAAAATTATCAATATATATGAACATTAAAATAATTTCCTTACAAACTTTCTTATTAGAACATTGGTTTTAATAGGAAGGAAAGATTAAAAAAAAAAGGAAGAAAGGTTTTCCAAAACTCCCTAAAAGTACTCCATCCTATTGTACCTCACTAGTAATTATAATCACGCTACAACCATTCAATACCTACAGCCACAAGTATGGAAAGAATTTGTGTAGTAGTAGCTAGATTAAAATTATGTACCAAATTAGAATTTTCGCTTCTTACACTAATTTTATTTCATATATTATTTGTGTGTAGTTTTTCAATTGTAACTAATTTAACAAAGGGTTGCTCTTTAGGTTAAAGGATAATGTTGTGCCAATATTATGTGCTTTTAGGGATTTTCATAGAGATTTAGGAACAAATCTATCATATATCTAATTAAATTCATATTTTAGTTTATTTTAAAGCCATAATTATGATTATTTGAAACTGAAGGGACCATATTGATAGACACTTAAATCTAATGACCAAAATGCAAAATTAAAACTTTTAACTAATAAAAATTTAATTTTGACTATTAGTTATTGTGATTTTCCGTTGCTTGTCCTAAATATGCATAAAATCTAAAATTTTTAGGACCAAATTTATTATGGTCAAAACATTAGGCATCAATTTGGGATGTGGGCTAAACATTGTGGACCAAAACAGCATTTTCTCTTAAAATAATAATTTAGCAACTAAAACATTAGGATCCAATTTAACACACATAAATAAAATATTGAGATCCAAAACTGCATTTATTCCAAAGTAATAATAGCAACCATTTCTTCATGAAAGCTCTAGGAAATTAAAGTGTATTGGTATTAAAAAAAAAAAATCAAGATTTGATGATTTCATTGAACAAGGCCGACTTTAAAAGCAGTTTGGAAATTGATCTTGTTACTAAGAGTGTATAATTTCTGAGAGTCCTAAATTTTGATGTTTTGTAAAGGGATAAAATTAGAAACTTTCTCGAAAATTTCTCTTAATATCACTTAGTACTTCTAAACTTTTAAAAATATTACTTACTTCCCTTAATTTTGTTATTTGTGCAACAAAATTTTGAAAAACCTTAAACTATCCTTTGCTTATTTTGCCAAACAAAAACACTCTTAAGCCAAATTGTTTACTCCAAAAAAAAAAAACTTTAGTCCATAAAAATATAAATTTAAAAAATAAAAAGATATATACTAGCACCAATTCAACTCTATATGATACTCATAAATCTCATTTTCTTCCCCAACCTCTTATAAACCAATCACCCAAGCCTTTAAGTTGAACTAAATTATTATAAAAATCAACTCAAAATAAACAAAGAAATTATACCCCACTCTATCACAATCACAAATAGAAAAAGATAAGTAAAATTTAATTTACTATAATTTACAAATAAAAAATACATAATCATCCAAAAAAATGAGCAAGAGAAAGAAAAAAGAGAAAAAAGTGTCTTTTATTTCTTTTTCTTTAATTTTTTGAGTTTCATCTATTCATTCGATATGTGAAATATGTATCAAGTGAGGATTAATATAGTCAATTTGTAATTATTAGGGGAAGATAAGTGATTATTTTTAAAATTTCAGGTGTGCTCAGTGATATTAGGAGAAACTTCAGGGGTTTCTAATATTATCCCTTTAGAAAATCGTGCCCAGTAAATTATCCCTTGCAATTGTGTGGTAGAAATATTAATGAATGGGTGCTATCAACTTCGCAGGTTTAACGAGCTACAACAATCTAACAGTATGATGAACTAAGCCTATCAAGTTCTTGATGAAGCAGTACCTTTTCTCCAAGGTCCCGAGTCGCTCGTCCTCTGGCCATAGAAAGGCTTGTTTTCCATTGCTGAATACAAAACAAAGAATCCCACCAAGCAAGCTGCTGAAATCCCAATTACTTTGACTGAAGTACAGAAGGGCTTGGCCTCTCGACACCATGGTATGGCATCCTTTGGAGGATAAGCAGGGTTCCAGGACCTCATCATCACTAACTTGGTTTAGGCGAACAAGAAGAACGAATGATTGAACGAAAAAACAGAGGAAAGATTGAATGAAAATCAGAGGAAAGATTGAGGGCGAAGAGACTATTATGAGCCGGTAATTTCTTGGACTCCATCATAGTCGTTGCCGTTTGTAGTTGAAAATGTGAAAGTTCGTCCGAGTCTTCTAATTCTATTCTATGACCAACACTTGTAAATTGTAGATTGGCATTGGTAGCCCCCCCACCCCCCCTCTTGTAGCCGCCGGTTTGTTTGCTAATAAATGTCTTGTCAACGTGGAACATCGGGAAGATTCCACGGGATCATTTTGTAATTCCAAAAAATATTTTGGATGCACATGCTTGGGTTCACAAGGATTATGTACCCTCTGTACCCCCGGACTTGTATTTTTATTTTTTACACTCTGTACCCTAAATTTTAATTTTAGACATTTTGTACCATAAACTCTGAATTTTAGACTGTTTACATGCTAAACTCTCAAATTTGCCTTACTTAATTCCAATGAATGACAATTATAGTAAAATTAATGGTGTATGGAACCCAACAAATTGATGATAATGTTTTGAAAGTAGTCAAAAGGCGTTAAGGTATCGTAGCAAAAATAAAAAAAAATACATTATGCACAATATTTTATCTCATTAATATTGCTACTGCTACCAATATTAGTGATTCAGCTTATATCAATCAATGATAATGTACTAAAAGTGGGTTAAAAAAGCTAAGGAATCACAATTACAACAAAGCAATGCATTGTCGTTAATTTTCACCATCTTTTATCTTATAAATTTTGTAAATATATTTATTGATTGGAATTAAATGAGACAATTTTGAGAGTTTTGGCCTAAAGTGTTCAAAATTAAGAATTTATCATGCAAAGTGTTCAAAATTGAAGTTTAGGATATAAAATGAGAAAGCGATACAAGTTTAGGAGCACAGAGTGGAATCAGTTCGAATTCATAATAAGATTCCAAACCAATAAAAGATAGTTTGGGAACAAATTTTTGTGTTTATTTGGGCACTATTTATTTGCAAAAGTGAAATAATGAATGTTCGAGAGTTTGCGAAACAAAAACCAATGAATTTACAAGAAATTACACATGAGAACAGCTCTTTAAGGCCAAGATTAGGTTTACTTTGTCCTCTTCATTACTTTTTCCCTGTCCAACGAGAACAAGCCGTGTGATGTTATAAAATATGACTTCTTCACGCCAAGTTGAGACCAATAATAGTAATTGCCGTCGTAAATCCATGTCCGTTATGTCATACAATATTTGTTTGGACAAGGTCAATTGTGGTGTCTATGATGCAGTCTTGATTGTAGTATTTGTTTGGAGACTCTTACGCGAATAAGGTACGCGGATTTAGTTACATTGAGGTGAAGAAAGGACTAATAAAGGGTGAAAAGAAGTGGAAAACCCTTCATTTCTAATAATTATTACAACTTCATTCGTAGCATAAATCCTATTTTGTTGTGTTTTTTTTTTAATTTCAATCAAAGGGAAGCTTTAATCCTCGTAAGAAAAAAGAAAAAAATTTGAGAATTGAATCAGAAACTTGTGACTAATCTGTTCCATCCTTCCTTTCTAATAATTATTGCAACTTTATTCGTAGCATAAATCCTGTGTTTTTTTTTCAATCAAAGGGAAGCTTTAATCCTTATAACAAGAAGAAAAGAGAAAATTTGAGAATTGAATCAAAGGGAAACTTGTGACTATCTGTTCCATCCTTCCTTTCTAATAATTATTGCAACTTTATTCGTAGCATAAATCCTATTTTGTCGTGTTTTTTTTTTTTCAATCAAAGGGAAGCTTTAATCCTTATAAGAAGAAGAAAAGAGAAAATTTGAGAATTGAATCAGAAACTTATAACTACCTGATTAATATCTCTATTATTATTAAGTTGGGTGTTTAATATCTCTATTATTATTAAGTTGGGTGTTAAAGACTATTTTTTTTCGTTGGTACTAAACACTCAATTTGGCTGCCAGTCTTTAACAATATGGCGTGCGTGTCCATGGAGGGATTGCATGTTTAGAAGAAATTGTGGGCTTTGATTTTTGTTGTCACGTAAATAAGGTTGATTGGGTGACTATATTTTGAGATGACGCAAGGATGGCAATAAGACGGAAAATAATGATGATATTTGTTCGGTAGAGTCAAAATTTTGTACTTCCACATGAATCTTTCCAATGAATGCGTGTAAGTTTGGATTGAGATATTTTGAAGTAATCGAAAAAACTCAAAATAATCAAGCTGACATGACGAACTGCTGTTGGTCAAATTGGTCATTCGGCCCTCCAACTTTTACTAAATCAAATTTAGTCCTTGAACTTTTTCTCCTGCCCATCTGATTCTGACATTTATTTATTTTTTTTTTGTGTTGGACCTATTTAGTCCTTCGTTAAGTAGGTTGCTGAGTCCCAAAATCTGACACCATTGAACAAAGTCAAAACCAAAATTCTAAAAATCCTTAATCTCATTCCTGTTAGACAAATTTGTTAGATATATTTACTCAATCCTGTTCATAGGAGCCGACTTTTGAAGGTTGCTCGGAAATCTAGGTTTATCTTGCCGAATTCTTGAGTTTCTTCAAGAAAATGTCAAAAAAAAAAAAAAATCCTGTTAATAGGAGTTTATTTTAGTTTGTTTTGATTTTACTGAGTTTGGTGGAGTTTTTGCATATGTGAGCACTTTATCAATACTGAGTGGCTGCACTTCCTAGTTTTGAGCATTTTTCCGTTGCTTTTAGCTCTATGCAGCTTTTTGTTGTGAGTTGAGCATCAGATTCACAAAGCAATAAAGTTGAGTCCTTTTCTCCTTTTTTTTTTTTTTTTTTTTTTTGGGAAAATTGTACTTTTATTAATCATGTGAAAATCAGCTTTACAAAGGGGAATCTCACCCTACTACATCACAATCATTTCTAATGATCTAATCAATCATTATTCACATTTTAAGATACTTAGCTATGCAAATATAATTTCTATACATTTGCTCAACTATGTTAGACAATTTGGATGTAATCCCAATTCTAACATCAGATGCCAATTTTCCTGTGTTTGTGGAGCCTTTGGCCAAGATATGATATAGGTAGCTGAATAACCTTGGCAATGTCAATTAAAATTTTGCTACTTGTTGCCTCAACAAAATGAAAACTCTCCTATTGCTTTCCTGCCACAGATGCCACACGGTTACTGCAAGCACCAGTCTTTCTTAGTTTTGCACCAAAAGTTTTCCTATGAGAATGCTTACACCATCATTCCAGGTCCTAAACTGCATGGTAAGGGACCTCTATACATCAAGCACAGGTATTGCATCTTATCCCAAACACATCTGAAAAATCCACAATAAACAAAAAAGTGATCCAAATATTCATCTGCTATGTCACACAGGACACATCTAAAAGAGACTGTAGTCATACCCCATTTGAGCAGCCTGTCCTTGGTCATCATTAACTTTCTGTTCAGCATTAGCCACATAATGAAAGCATATTTCACACTGCCTTTACCCTATACCAGTTTAAACCATTGTACTGTACTACTTTGAGGATATATTACCTTCATGGCAGATTTCACAGAAAATTCACTAGAAGAAGGGGCTGCCCATTTGACATGATTTGATCTATGTAATTGGTTCAGCAAAATCACTGGTGTGATTTGCTGAAACTCTTGCACCAAAGCATTAAATCTTCTACCTGTTGACCAATTCCAGCTTCTATTCTTCACAGAGTCAGCAACTTTTGAGTATGGATAAATTTCCAAGTTCTTAAATAGAGACTCAGGATGCTTTAAGTAGAGAGGACCCTCAGTGTACCAATTAACATACCAAAAAAACGTGTCACAACCAGCTCCAATAGATACACTAATCCATAGTTGAGCAGGTGGTCTATGCTGAAGAAGCTTTTTCCAGCACCATGAAGCATTTGCAGGTATCGTCATTGCCCAAAACTTTGATTTTTCAATATAACTGAGTGAATCCATTTAATCCATAAAGAATCCTTCTTCTTGCATAGGTTCCATACAAACTTTAGAATCAAACATTGATTCCAATGCAATGCATAATGGACGCCTAATCCTCCTTGTTTCCTTGGTTTACAAATATCAAACCATTGTACCTTAGTAGCATACTTAGTTCTAAGATCACCTGACCATAAAAAAAAAAAAAAGCCAGCATGCTATCTTTTTGATTACTGCTTTGGGTAACATGAAAACATTAGTCCAGCTTAAGTATATCCCACTAAACAGAGATTGTATGAGTTGCAACCTTCCTCCATAACTCAATTTCTTGGCTGCTAAATCTTGAAGTCTTTGCTTCAGCTTATTAAACACTGGTTGACAGCCTTTATGACTCAACTTAGTGGAAATAAAAATGAATCCCAAGTATTTCACAGGTGGCATAACTTTAGACAGCCCCATGATATTACATAATATCTCACATTCCTCTGGTCCTACACCAGACAAATATACATTGCTCTTACTAAGATTTGGCCTCAAACCAGATAGCTTCTCAAAGTCAACAAGAGATTGTTTAAGTGCTTTGAAAGAGTTCACAGTTGCTGCAGAAACCAAAAACAGATCATCAGCAAATGCAATTGAGAAATTTGCAATTGAACACAATAAGTGTGAAAGTCAAACCCACATTCCATTATATTCTTTTTAAGGATGACTGAGAAGACCTTCATGGCTCAAATAAGGAGAGAGACGATCTCCCTGCCTTAATCCTTTTTCACTAGAGAAAAAAATCCACAAATGCACCATTCATATTGATAGAAAATTTAGTAGTGGTCGCACACATTCTAATCCAACTTACGAACTTATCAGGGAATCCCATTGCATGCATAGCAGCAAATAAAAACTCCCAATCCACAGTATCATAGGCCTTGATCAAGTCAACTTTAAAGACAAATCTTGCCCTGCCTCTACTTCTATAATAGTCTCAGACCAACTCATGCATTAAGAGAATACTATCTGCTATTTATCTGCCTTTTACAAAAGCATTCTGAGTAGTGAAAATTGACATAAGAAGCACTTTCTTCAATCTAGCAGCAAGAACAGCAGTAATACATTTGTAAAGTGTGTTACAACAAAAAATAGGTCTATTGTCCTTCATATGCAGAGCATTTTCACCTTAGGAATTAGTGTTAAAAAGGTGCTGTTTAAGGGATAAAACATATAACTTTGCTCAAAGAAGAACCTTATAGCATTAGCGATCTCCCTTCCATTTACATCCCAACTGTCTTTAAAGAATTCACTAGTATACCCATTTGGTCCAGGTGATTTACCATTCTTCATTCCAAAAACTATTTCTTTTATCCCATCATCTAATACTGGTGCTTGCTGTAGCTGTTTCTGCACATCAGAGATAATAAGAGAGATCAGTTTCTCTAGATATCTTGATTTCTCATAAGAGAAAACACCTATTTTACTAAAAGATTTTATAATACTGAACTGCAGTTTCCTTCATCAACTCATATTCAGTAATTCTTTCTCCAGCATCTGTGACTAAGGACAACATTCTGTTTCTAACAGTATGACTCTTTGCTTTCATGTGGAAGAAAGTAGTATTTCTATCCCCCACATTTAACCACTGAATTCGAGATTTTTTTTCTTGAAAAACTGCTCCTTAGCCATTACTCATTAGTTGCTGACTTATATTTCTGGATCAGTTCACTGTTCCATGGATTTGGATTCTGTTTTTGGATCAGTTCACTGTTCCTCAGTCTGTGACTAAGGACAAGATTCTGTTTCTAACAGTATGACTCTTTACTTTCATGTGGAAGAAAGTAGTATTTCTATCCCCCACATTTAACCACTGAATTCGAGATTTTTTTTTTTCTTGAAAAACTGCTCGTTAGCCATCACTAGTTCTGCATACTCATTAGTTGCTGAGTTATATTTCTGGATCAGTTCACTGTTCCACGGATTTGGATTTGATTGTAAAAGCAACCTATATGCCATCAAACTGAGCTTTCTTTTATAGCATTCTAGTACTAATATCACTAAAATGCTGCTTATTCAAGACTCTGAACTCAATTTTCAATCTTCTAGACATTTCACAGGCACATATGAGTGAATTACTAGCAATAGAAGGTGACCAAGAAGCTACTAACACATCTTTAAACTTCTCCTGCTTCCACCAAAAAATATGAAACTTAAAAGGCTTGGGACCAAAATCCACAATAGGGCCGCTAGCAATTCAAGCTGCTCGTGAGCTACTTGGGAGCGGCTCAGTCAAATGCTCAACTCAAACTCAATTGAGCTCGAGTTCGGGTAGCTTGATGCATATATCAAGTCAAGTTTGAACCTCCATTTGTGCTACTCGAATGCTGGTCGAGTAGGTTGATTATTGGTGATTTAGGTAATAATAGGGGTTTACGTTTTAATTTTAATTAGGAAATCACTAATAAAGGTTTATGCTTTAGGTAATTTACCATAACAGTTGTCTACTCAATAAAATTCATAAATGGTAAAAATGTAATATTGTAAAAACTAAAAAAGAAATGAAGATTTTAGAAAATTTATCATAAAATTTTGAGCCTTTTTCGAGTTTTATTTCGAGTCCTAGAGCTTGTTAAGGCTCAAGACTAGTCTCAAACCTTAACGAATCGAGCTTGATCTTGGAAATGGAAATTGTTGAATCGAGTCGAGTTATATAATTTTTTACTCATTCAAGTCGAGTTCGAGTTCGAGTAGTGTGTAGCATGGAGTTCGAGTTCGAGCATAACATATTTGACCTCGACTCTATTTTTTAACACCCCTAGTCCACAATATCTACAATAGTAATAGAGATTTGAGAGTGATTCACATTTGGTGGCAAGAATTCAACTTCCACTCCTGAAAATAAGTAATACTCCCTTTGTCCCATTAAAAGTGCTATACATTTCATTTTGGAATGTCTCAAAATATTTGTGATCTTACAAAGTCAAAATTACTTTTTATCTCTTTTTTCAATGTTATCCCTACATCTATTTATGTTCTATATTAAATTCAAATTTGAAATTTGAATTTTTGAGGGAAATATTGAAAATAATTCCACTAATATTGCCATCAGGTCACTATTCTTAAAAAGCTAGAATCCTAGAATTGGACAAATATTTTGGGAAGGAGTGTGTACCAAGCATCATTTGCAAGCACCCTATCAATTTTACTGTATATTCTAACTCCATCAACCCCCATATTACACCAAGTATAATACAATCCCTTATTAAGAACTTTAGCTATATCCAACTCCTCAATATAACTCCATCACTCCTCATATTACACCAAATATAATACAATCCCTTACTAGGAACTTTACCTATGTCTAACTCCTCAATACTAGTATTGAACTTCTCCATTGACCTAAAGTCGAAAGCATAGCTATCCAGTCTATTCTTGAGTAGATCTTAGAGCATTGAAATTTCCAAGAGCCAACCAAAGAATACCACCCATCTACTGTTTCAACTCCTTCAAATGAGGACATAAAGTTCTCTTGTCCTCAAATTTATTCATGCCATTACCATGGTTACCATAAAAGAGATCTTAAGCTCACAACTCATACTATACAAGTGATTGCTTGACGGTGTGAATTAAGAAGTTGACACTGCACATTTGTCCAGTTCCAACAAAGCATGACTCTACCAGTAGTATTAATAGAGGCGTTATGGAAATAGCTCCATCCAAGTACACATCTTTGTATGACGCGATTACATTATGCATTTTGACCTTATTCTCAACAATGCCAATGATGTCCACATGTAATTTAGATATTAATTTTCATATAGCTATTTGTCTAACAAGTCTATTGAGACCTCTAATATTCCAGCATACGATTCTCATTAAGAGATAAGCAGTTTGTCACATTTTCCCTCCTACCTCTACCTTAACTTTACATTTTTTTGAACTTTTTATAGTGTTGTCATTATCAACATCCTCCCAACTTGATAAAGAAGAATAATTATTTGTAATTGGTAGTGCAATTTTAATACTATTGATAGGGATTGACCTCCCATTGTATCAGCAGCTAACTCACTACAACTTCTTCTTGAATTACTCTCTGGAGTCGTACTGCTGTAATTATTTAGCAAAGCAATTTCCACTATTTTTTTCTTCCGTCACACCTTTTCATTTATCATGATTTTGTTCACACTCAATAGTAGGCTCAGTACCCTCTGCAACAATCATTCTCTCTTCCTTTTGGATAGTAGGTTTATTGTCCTCTGCATCAATCACTTGTCTTTTCTTTCTTCTTGGGCACCCGCTTCTTAACCACATAAGGAACAGATGGACTACTTAACCACTTATGATCATTGGAGCATACTAATGGAGAACTTCTTGAGATCCAAAGGGTATTGGCTAGTTGTTGAATTTGGAGTAGCAGAATCAAAAGCCAAGGTGGTGTTGTCACGGAAATTGGAGTTAGAAGTGTTGAAGCTGAAGGACTTTAGGTCTAAAAACTATCCTTTTCAAGCTATTGATTGAGGAAACTAGGAGACAATTCTTAGCAAAAATATCTCCAAGCAGATTTAGAACTCCATGAAAAAGAAGTATCAAGGGAATACGAAGGCAAAGTGAGTGTAGTTTGAAGAACTTTAGATTGAATTTGAAACTTTATGCATGAAGTCAAACGAGTCAATTACAGATTTTTTTGCAAGAACTACGACAATCGCCCACAAGATAAGGATCCATAAAGAGAAATTGGAGGACATCACCATTATTGAGAAGATTCTTCGATCGATGACACCAAAAATTATTTTTGTTGTATGCTCTATAGAAGAATCAAAAGATATTGATGCACTTTCAGTTGATAAGTTGCAGAGCTTTTTGTTGGTTCATGTGCAAAAAATTAACCAGCAAGAGAAAGAAGAGCAAGCATTGCAGACCTCAACAAAAAATCACTTGACATTAAATGGGGATAGAGGACGAGATAAAGGTAGAGGTAGAGATAGAGGAAACAATAACTGTGGCAACCAACAACGAAACTATCAGTACCAAGAAAATCA